ACCTTGTTATCTCAGATTTTCCAGCATCTGCAGTTCCTACTATTTCTAATGCTTAAAATGAATTGAGATCAAAGCAGATTTTTTTATTTGTCTATCACTTCCTGCAGTCAGATTTCAAATTCATGCGAAATGCATGTAAGCATTGACTTCTCCTGCTGAATTTAGTTTATCTCATATTTATTTTTACTCCAGAGTTAGCTATCATTTGTCAAAATTTCTCCTAGCTCAATTGTCCCATGTTTCTCTAGTTGTCAGTAATTCAGAGCCTGCATTAATGTGCATTCCTTTAATTGCCAATTATCAACAACACTTATTTTTTTCCTCACTGTTACTATTCCTCTTCTGAGCCCTCCCCACCCCCATGTTTTTCCTCAATAAATGCACACAAGAATCAATTGTATTTTTACTAAATAAAAAGCAATCACTAACCCACTTTGCAGATCTTTAGATTTAATGCTAGTGGCTGTTCTATAATGGCTTGATAATTGGGCAAATAACTATAGATATGCCTTTACACTAGGGCAGGCAGCTCCAGACAAATTCTAGTTTTTAAATTTTTATCTGCTTTCTTGCCAGAAGTGAAATTTTGTACAGCTTTATTTTACATGTACCCAGTACTGGCAATATTAAATGGTTCAAAAACGTACAAGTAAGGAATTCAACATCTTTTGACATTGAAAAAAATTGCTCCAAATTTATTGGTACAACCTTTGATTGATGGAATGATCAATCATTATGTGATTTTACTAACTAGTTGTCATGTTATAAACAGTAATTGTACAATGCCAGCTGTTGGTCAGAAGCCTTTAATTTCTGATGAACTTGTTAAAGTTTCTCCCTGGCTTGGGTGCATGAAGAGAGGGTGCATTGATATATAGCATACTGTTCTTAAAAGCTGAGCTTCTTTGACGACTGTTTTAAAGGTTCTAATATGCTGTTGCTAGGCAACTGAGTGATCACACTCCACTTAGTATTTTCCTTCATCATGAGAATAACTTGTCAGCATGGATTTTTATCTCATAATTGCGTTCGCATTTCCACTAAGATTGTTCATGGTTAATGTGCTGTTAAATTACGTGATACTGTGTTTCATTGGCTGCCCTCCAGACATTCTGTAATTTTGTTTCACACATTTCCAACAGTCTGATTTGCAATTACAAATTTAAATATAGTCATGTGCAATTAATAATCACCAGTAAAAGGCAGGACATTTTAACAAAATAACTAGAAAGAATATGAAGGGAATTAGTTTGATTTTTCTTTAGAGAGAAAGTTGATATATTTTCATATTCTGCTTAGGCATCTTGGCTATGGATTTTTGCTTTCTGCAGTAGCTCAATAAATGACTTATTCTGAAGAAAAGGTGGCCAATGTGTATTTTATCTATTATCTTTTCTTTGCCTTTGCACCCCCTCCACCCAACTACTGTAACTGCTTAAGAACAATGACTATAGCTCTGTCTTATAAACTGCCAGGAGGCAATGACCTAGTGGTACAATCACTAGACTATTAATCCAGAAGCGTGGCTAATGTTCTGAGGATGCTGGTTAAAATCCTGCCATGGCAGAT